GTAAATATCTTCTTTCTTTGGATTGAAATCATGGTCTGAAGCATTAGCTTACATAATTTTTCGTTCTTCCTGGACAGTGACTTTAATGCAATGTTCTATTTTGGCAATTTGAATATATGTAGATTATGTGAAAGTATAATACTGCTTTGTTATATAGATTATGAAATTACATCCCAACTAAAGGTATGTTCTTGAGATTTGTATTCTGAAATCATTTGCGAACTCGAGTTCGAGTTATTTTCGTAGCATGCCGGTGCTCTCAATGGTTTTGTTCACCCTGCTTAGATATATTGGTGCAGCAATGTTAGCATACAAGACAGTTTCAGGAACCAAAAACTTCAAGAAACTAGTTCATCTTGCACTCCAGTTTGTTGCATTGTTTTTAAGCCTGATTGGCATATGGGCTGCCTTGAAGTTCCACAATGACAAGGGAATCGACAACTTTTACAGTCTACATTCATGGTTGGGCTTAGTTTCTGTCTTTTTGTTTGGCATCCAGGTTCGTAAACCGTAATATCCGCTGCTATGTTTTATCTTTTTGTTGAGCTACGTGATTCTAATTAATTAGGGTGGCTCCATTTGGACAGTGGGGTGCAGGATTTGTAACCTTTTGGTACCCAGGTGGCTCCAGAAACAGCAGAGCTACTCTGTTGCCATGGCATGTTTTCTTTGGCGTTTACATATATGGCCTTTGCATTGCTACAACTGTTACTGGATTGTTGGAAAAAGCTACCTTCCTTCAAACCAGTAAGGTAATATTACGCTATTCTAATGAGGCTTTGCTGATAAATTCATTGGGTATCGTCGTTGTTGTATTGGGTGGCCTCATAATTCTTGCGGTTATCGCTCGGTCGAACAACAAAGGTGACGTCTACAGAGGGCCAGCAGAGTAGGATGAAAACGTTATATGCTGGTTCATACTTGAAATGGAACAAGTATTTGTACTGTGTATGGACATCTCATCAAAATGAAACTTGCCTTTATTTGTAATTGAGTAAAATGATTCATTCTCAAACTTTTTCGTAATCACTTTCATCGATAAATTGATTTTGAATGATTAAAAAACATATTTTAGAGTGATCGAAGTGATCTTTTAACTATTTCGTAATCACTTTCTAACATACCTACGGTGTCATTCTCCTGATATGAATTTAAACAAATTTCACCGATCTCATGCAATTGTAAAAAACCATAAAAATCCAAATAATCACAATCACAAATCCCCAAAATCACAACAATATCAAGAACTGAAGCCAAAGGTATCTATTTATAAGAAATCAGATAAAAAGTTGGGATAACAAACAGATGATATTGGCTATGAAACTCATAGTTTGGCTCACAGGAAGCAAAGATGGTGCTGACCAACAAACAAACAGAGGTCAACAAAATTATGGGCAAACTGAGGCCAACAATGAAATTGAGATGAGATTATATGAAACTTGGGCAAACTGGTCCCTTGGACAGTCCCAGGCGGACTTCAATTCCATGGTGCATGTCCAATGGCCTCAAAGATTCAGATTCCCTTGGGTCTGCAAATCACATTCACATTAAACAAGTTGTATAAACTAACACTAGCAGAGACTATTATTATCTAAAATGGGTATTTTAAGCAACAGATGGACTGCACAATAGAGATTCATTATGTTAAGTCAAAGTGAAAAAAGAAGGGCAAAACAATGGCCAAAGCAATTCATCCTCCTTATGTTGGCCAGTCATGTTTGTCCAGGACATTTTATCCATGGCTCCATGTTCGTTCCAAACCCCTTTTTGCATGCTTTCATCTTAGATATCTTTACTCTTTCATATTGTGTCAACATGGGGGTGTATGACAGGTCACCAAAATCATGTCCACACTCGTCAGGGCTAAAAATGCCCCAAAATATATTATAGAGGGATATGACTAGTCATGCTATCAAAGTCATGCCTAATCGCTTTTAGCTTATAACATTGATTTCTTTCAAATTGTTTTCAACGTATTTCCTCACCCACGTTTTCCAAACATTTCTCTTAAACGTGACTTGAGGCTCTAGTATACGCTATCATAGTTTACGAAGTCAAAAGTTTCTCACGGCTGACTTGTTCGCTGGGTTAGAACAAGTGTCACACAATCGCTGTCCCGTAGCTGCAAGAGTGCAATTGTGACACCCCCGCAGAATCACAACACATGCATACCCGACTATGGATTTCCACCCTTACACATTTACATCACTCGGTCCCTCCTTCCCTTTCCTCAACCATGTAACCCTTGGGTGACTTGGGGTCAATCAGATCCAACCATACTTCGCAAATTTAAATATCCCATCAATGCCAGATAATTTAATAAGAGTCCTAAAGAAACTCATTAAGCTCAAAAGAATTATTTAAGGCAATGGAAAAGCTCTACCTAATGATGAAAATGTATAATAGAGAACAGAATCAGATGAGTTATATGGATTTATTTTACCATTTAGATAATCTTCAAAGCCAAAGTCATCCAAGCTTCCAGTAAGAGCCTCCAAACCCAACATTGAAGATGAAATAGGTCCTGGAGGCCTTTGAAATCTGCAATAGTTTTAAGTTAAAATAAACAAGTGCTCCAATTTAGAACACACCAAGAGAGATACAGCATCAATACAAGAAGAGTGGCCTTACCGAGAAAGAATTTGCCTCTCAAAATCCATCTTCAATGGAAAAGCAGATCCATATGTATTCACCAGAATTTTCCTTTTCATCTCTTCTTCTGTTCTTCTCGTCTATATCAAGAAAAAAACAGGAACATTCATCTATCAAATTGAAAGAAATTAATTTAACCAACGAGATCAAGCTTGTTTTTTCATCCCATGTATTCAAAGAATGTATTGTGGTTCATCCACCTCATGGTTTTAAAACGTGTTTACTAGAGATAGGTTTTCACACCCTTACAAAGAATGCTTCGTTCCTCTCTCCAACCGATGTGGGATCTCACAATCCACTCCCTTCAGGACCCAGCATCTTCACTAGCACTTGTTCCCTTCTCCAAGACCTCTTAATTCACCTGTCTAGCTCTAATTCCATTTGTAACAACCTAAGACCACCACTAGCAGATATTGTCCTCTTTGACTCGTTACGTATCGCTGTTGGCCTCACAGTTTTGAAACGCGTCTACTAGAGAGAGGTTTTCACACCCTTAGAAACAAGGTTTCGTTCCTCCCTCCAACCAACTGAGGTGGAATCTCATAGTTTTTTCTATACAGAGGTCAAATGGGACACTAGATAAATCACTCTGAAATGAAATTCTCAGCACCATTTTACAACAATTGATAGAACCGGACCCCAAAAATTTCAAAATATGGGAGTACAATGAGAAATTTTAACAATAAACAGGAAGTAAAACATGAAGCTACAAGTTTCTAATCCGAGTAACTTAAACAAACAAGTGGTTCATCAGCTCAATCGAACCCAGATTATCCAGCCGAAGCCATATAGAAACCAAGTAAGACAACTTAGATTGAAAAAACTGAGAGAGAAGGAAGAGGGGAAATTACAGTTTCATAGATGGATTCAACAGGATGAGATCCAACGAGATCGCTCTTCACGCCTTGGAGCCCAAATCGAAGGGCATCATTCTGGATCCCTCCGATTTCATGGGGAATGGCCTTCGAAGACTCCATTTTCGTATTCCCTTCGCTCAAGAAAACTTCTTAAACTTGTTCTGCAAGTCGCGCGAGCTTGCCGTGCCTCTGCCTACTGAAGATTGGTAAAGTTATGGTATTTATACAAAACACCGTGACTTGGAAGAAAATTATGAATATTGACAAAATAATCATAATCTATTTTGAATTCTTTTCAATTTTATTTTCGGTAGAAAATTACGAATTAAAAAAGGAAAAAAAAAAAGCGGGGAATAATACCGCACAACTTCCGTTCCTGGCGGTGGCAATTTGATTTGGCTCAGCGGGGAATAATAACGCACAACTTCCGTTCCTGGCGGTGGCAATTTGATTGGGAGAGCCAAGTTATTGGTTCATTTTGCAGAAGTCTCGGCGACTAACTATCACATTCTCGGCTAGAGCCGCTGATTCTATGATTCTACTCAGCCGTCTTCCGATCAGCCTCGCCGGACAAAGCAAAAGCCACCGATGACGAATTTTCGCTTGCGAATGTATGTTTCTGACTCTATATGGCTATGGATTCTTGTGAGTATTGACTAGGTAGCACTTGGATTGGAATTTGTGAATTCTTGTAAATATGTTGTAAATATATTTCTCTTGTGAGTGCTTGTGTTGATAATCCCATTCGGAACAGAATTGTAATTTGAATGTTTAGGAGAGAAATATGCGGCCCAAAACGGAGGGAAGCGATTCGACTTGGGGCAGGGATCACTGCAGAAGTCGGTGAGCTTAATGCATTACATAATTTATCATTTTCTTTTGTTTGTAATTGTAACATTGTTAACTGAGAATTTCTTTGAAACTCTTGCAGGGAAGGGAGAGAATGCTCTGTATGAAGTCCGGCTTATTTCTAACACTAATCCCGGTGCTTCGCCATGATAAAGGATATGGTATAATCAAATTCTGCTACATATTGTGGTTTCATTTAGTATACAAAATGTGTGTAGCCATAGAATGTGTTCTTTATGTTCTTTTGCTTTCTATATATTCTCTCTGGGTTAACATATATCCTATCGTGTAACAACCCAAGTCTACCACTAGTAAATATTGCATGTTTTGACTCGTTATGTATCACTATCAACCTCACGGTTTTAAAACGCGTTTACTAGGAAGAGGTTTACAGACCTTTATGAGGAAGGTTTCATTCCTCTATCTAACCAACGTGAGATCTCATATATTGTCAGTATGGCATTGATAAGATTCTTTTCATCATGCCGTGAATAAACAGGTTTTGCATATTTTTTATTTTGTATACGTATGTGCATGTGTGTGTGTAGATGATTGAAAATGTTGTTTGACGCAAGATTATAGTATTAGAATTGGATTTTGAATTGGTAGCAGCTTCATTTGCTAGTAACTACGTGAAAGGTAATGAAATTAGTAGTCCTAGTTATCAAAAGCTTTATTTGTCTGAAGGTCTACAAAGGCATGCACGTGAAGTGAGAAGGTAAAGCTGCTCCCAACTTTCACCATCCCAATAAACGAGAAATGATATCAACACTAAAGCAGAGAACCCCTAAACTAAAAGCCTTAACCTTTCTACGCAGGCAGGCAGGCAGGCCTGAGGTCCTTCTCCATGATTGCTCTTAATTTCTTAGCGCAAACACAAACCCCCTCCCTAACACCTGCAAAAATATGCCTGAAAATGAAACACAAAGCGAATCTCCTTTCCTTTTCCCATTTCCTCAGTAACTTTTCAGCACCCTTTCAAATGAGGTAAAAAGTTGTTTTTTCTTGTTTTGTGTTTATCCCTCTGTCTTGTTCTCATCCATGACAGGCACCCACCTTGCCTCCACGTTTGCTCCTTTGTACTGTTTCTATCTCCCTTTTCTCCTTTTGGCATCTCCTTTTCTTTGCTTGCTTTACTTCTCACCTGCACTCATATTACACTCATCACTGTTCTGTATGAATATCTGAACACAATGGGATATCTCTTTTATTTGCTACTTTAGGCATTGTCATCTGTAAACATTTCCTCATGGGCGTTTGTAGAAAATGCCTCAAACTTTACTTTAACAACTGGGGTTTAAGATGCAATATCTCTGTGTTGGAATCAAAATTTATGCCTTAAATGAGAAGATTAGCCAAACAATGTTAAGGGCAGTAGTTGAATCACACAGTTCAATTATACCTGTGAGACAAAATCTACGCGGAAGGGAGTCCCACATTGACTAATTTAGGAAATAATCATGGGTTTACACGAAAGGAATACATTCTCCATTGGTATGAGATCTTTTGGGAATGCCTAAAGTAAAGTCACGAGAGCTCAGGCTCAAAATGGACAATATCATACAATTGTGGAAGAGAGTCGTGATTCATAACAACTTCTTGTGCTCAACGTTAACCTTTGAGAACTGTTTTTTCATTCTACTTCTTTTGTTTCTTTTCACTTCTAGTGTTTCCCTTGAATCCCGGCCTTTTCACCTGTGGACTTATTTTGAGATTATACCAACAGATATTGAGGTACAAGCATGTGGATGTTTTATGAATGACAGATGCAATGATTCTGAGACTTTTTTTGTTACATTATTTTAGGCATTTGACCATATCCTTCAAATGCATAACCATTTTTTCCAGAAAGAGAGAAAAAAAGCAGAATTTTCAACATAAAGCAGAAGAAACTGTGAGAACCCATTTTGAATTTTGCAGGAAAGAATCTCGATGGGCTCCACAATAAAGCAAGGAGCGTGGGGATGGTTGGGTAAGTGGGATTGCTAAGTGAATGGTACAAGAGTTTTCTGTAGATGGTGTTGAGGATGGTTGGGAGAGAGTCTCATATTAGCTAATTTAGGGAATGATCATGAGTTTATAACTAAGGAATACATCTCTATTGGTACGAAGCCTTTTGGGAAATCAAAAGCAAAGTCACAAGAACTTATGCTTAAAATAGACAATATCATAACATTGTGGAGAGTCGTGATTACTACGTGGTGGAGTTTGGAAGTATGTTTTGTGAAATTGGCTTTGCTCCTGATACTGATATATTCTTGTTCAGAGCCCTACAGGAATATGTGAAGAGCGTGGTCCCAATTTTAATCTTACACTTCTCCATCTTGTTAGAACTTCGATCTGAATCAGTCAAGCCTAATCTTGACGACCCTTTTTGTAGAAATGCACAATCAACGAGGAAGAGAATGAGCCTAAAATTTCTCCCTAGATTTCTTAATTAGTTGGATTTGTTTGAATCTTCCCTCTACTTAATCATGATTATCATTTGAAAGATCAAAGAATGTACGTACCACTTTCTCTGATTTCGTTCTTGGAATGGAATAAGAATTAGATGAACCAGTTTCTTCTTTCCCACAATTCTTTAACGACCTCTCTTTAATGGGAGGCGTGGAAGCAGGGCTAGGACTTGTTGAGCTTCTATCAGGCGGTGTGCTTTGAGTTCCCACATCCTTAGTCATCCCTTCCACTTTCTTTTCTACATCTTAAACAATGAACTTGTTTCACATTGAAAAACAAACCTTTCAACAAGGAAAAAAAGGAACAAAAAAGCCAAGAAAATGGTACCTGGAATTTGTGTAAAAGTAATTGGCCTTTCCTGGAGTTGTGTGGAATTTGTGGAATAAACTAAAGGAGCAGACATGGTGATTCTGGTTCTTGAATTTCTGAATGACCTTGCGCTCAGTGACTTAGCAGATAAACACTCCATTGGAACCTCCCCTGAGAGAGGATTGCAAATATATTTCTCTGCTTCATACCACTTTGAGTTCAAAGCAAGCCCTTCTGGCGGTGACAAGCTTTCCCAACTATTATAATTCGACCTGGATTGTAATGCTGCACAAAAACTCTTTTCTATCACAGTCTCAAAACAAAGACAGGCAACTCCGTTTCAAACATGTCTTACCTTTGAGAGCGGTAGTGAATGAGTAGGTTGATGGGTCAATTTCATCTGCAAAGAAGAAATCAAGAAACAAAAGATGAGATGATATGAGAGTCAAAACTGATATGAACCACAAAACAGAGAGAGTACCTCTCATGGAGTAGTAGCCTGGGGAAGAAGCAGTGCTGGAGATGGTTATGTTTGATCTGAAGGATCTCCCATCTTCTTCCCTAAAGCTTCTTAGATATGACCCTGAAAACCTTCTGGAATTTGTGTTCTCACACTTCATCCTTGCCCTTACCGCCCACTCTCTCAAATTTAAGTCGTCTGGTTCTTCTCTTCTCTGTGAACCATAATGGACCTGCTCCATTCTAAGGCTTTCAAGAAATGAGGAACTAGCTTACTAATATCACTCTTCTCTGTGCTTTATAAGGCTAAATATTTTCTCATGTTTGTTTTATGTACACATTCTAATTGTTATTCCATGTCTAAAAAGGCTGAAGAATCATCTCTGTCACAGCCAGAATTGCTAAGTTCTTTATTTGCAAGACAAAACAAGTCCATTTCAACAATTTTCAGTCTCGATTATTGGTCTTTATTGTTAGCTTTCTGTTTCAAACAATGGGTTTTGCACTAAGTTACTTTATGTCATGATCAAATGATCCTCCCAATTTTGTTGTTCATATGATTATGTTGTTGATTTTGAAAATTTTGCCTTTTCCGGTTTAGTGCAGATGTGTCTAGAAAACAAGACGGGTGGAATGGGGATGTGGTTCTCGGTTAACGGGTATCTTTTCGGGTAACTTTATTTCTATATGAGCTCTAAACATTCTTATACACGGTCTAACGAGTTCTTAAACTTCTAATTTAGTGTTTAATATTAGAGATATTTTTAAAAATAAAAGATCGAATTTTATATAGAAGGAAGATATGTTTCCATCACATTGGAGGAGATGGAGTGGTAGGGGTAGAGAGGTCCCGCTTCAGTGTTTATCTCATCATTATCCTTCTCCATTTTCGTTTCTTGTGCATGCCTACGTTGGTTTCATCAAAATTACAGTTTCTTTTTTCTCTCTTTTTTTATTTTCCAATATTCTAAATAATATTTATAAAATAATGAACTAATATGGTCTTGTCTTGAATTAAAAATTAATTTCATGAAATAATTGTAAAATTATAAATAGCTTGATACAATAAAGAAAAATTGAACAAAGTTGAGGGAGGGGCTAAAGCGTAATATTATCCTAACGAGTGAACGTTAAGGATATTTAATATTAAATTATAGTTTACCATATGTATTATATTTGATATTTTATTATAGGCAAATATCTAGATATTTGTCTTGTTCTTTTCATTTATTATTATTTTTCATATCTTTATAATTTATTTAATTATAATTAAGAGAACTTTCACACAACATTTAAGTAGGGTGGATTAAATAAACATTCTCGATGCAGATTAATTTACACAAATTAAGAAACTCAATAAAATTAAACCAACTGGCTTTATTAGACTCTAAATAAAAGGGCAATTATAAATTACAACCTCTATATTGAATACTCTCGAGAGTCTACAGCATTACAAATCACACCCTTGTGCTCCAACAAAGTCGATGGAAAGGGTATAATTTCTCGATTTTGAAAACTACAAGAGCATTAAAACACGAGTGTATGATTATCAACGAGCATAATTCAACAGATTAAGAGGTCCGAGGATCTCCGATCCTATATGCCGTGGAACTAAAAAAAAAAAAAAAAAAAAAAAAAAAAAAAAAAAAAAAAAAAAAAAAAAAAA